CCCCCGGTCCCAGCCTGGGCTGGGGGTGAGCAGCCCTGGGGGTGAGGAGCTGGGCAGGAGCCCCCCCAGCCTGGGCTCACCCCCAGCAGGGTGGGCACAGGGCAGGGAGGGGATCCTGCCCCTCTGCCAGCTCTGGGAGCCCCCCCTGCAGTGCTGGGGCAGCTCTGGAGTCCTCAGCACAGCAGAGCCAGGGACCTGCTGGAGCGGGGCCAGAGGAGCCCCAGCAATGGGCTGAAATTGTTGCCATGAAATGCAACAAAGGTGAGAAGTGGAAAACAAAGAAACCAAATGAGTCTTTTCACCTGGATGAAACAGCAGGTGGTACAAAGGGAAGCTGCAAAGCAGTGGATGGTGTGGACAGAGGGATGAGTCCTCCAAAATTCTGCCCACTTGTGTCCTCCTTTGTAATTTCAGCCTCCACAGCCTGTGCTGGTGTCTGCCAGGTTAAATGGGCATGATGCAGAGCTGCCCTTTCTCCTTTTTAAAACCTGCTTCCTGATAAAGCTCCTGTGGATTCTTCACCACTGGATGACTGTCATGTCTTGAAACGGGGCAAGGATTGCTTGTGTATGGATCTCCCAGCTGTGGGACACAACACACCTCTGGCCTTGGGAAGTGTGGGGCTTTCCTAGACTTAGAGGCCATTATTAATGTGGAGTCAGATCTTTCTGGCTTTTGCTGCATTTGAGATGCCTGTTAATATACACTTAATGAAGACTACATGATCCTGTCATTGGCTAGTCGATAAATCCTGTAGCAGGAAAATAAAGTCCTGGAGTTCTACCAGTTTGTTGGACCCTGAGAACATCAGATAACAGTTCTCTGCCAATTCCTTTCTAGCAAATGACAGTATTCTGCAGGGATTTCAGATAACGTGTTGTTCCAAGGATCATTTAATTTCAATAATGAACTTTATTAGCTGGATCACTCTGTCTGTGTTGAAAATGTCATGCAGTTTTTAATGAGCCTTCACAACGTGTCTGTGCCTTGCTTGGGTGGTTGTTGTCTGGCTCACTTTGGGCAGGGAAGTGGCAGAGTGGGAAAAGCTGGCAGATTTTCACAGAAGATCTTCCATCTCATTTCTCTTGTCATTGATTTCTCTTGCACTCGTTGATTATCTGCTTCTAGTTATCCACACATCTAAGAGCCAGCCAAGGCTTATGATACAAATCCTAGAAAAACTAATTTATTGATTTCTTTCATTCTTTTATTCACAATGTTCACATGCAGAACAAAAACTCTTTCTTTTTTTTCCTCCCAACCATCTTCTCAAAAACACTCTTGTCTGCTTACTGATGTTGCTGTGCACTCCCACTGAATTCACTGAAGGTGTGTGTTAGGCTCAGTGAGCTTCCATCCCTCTTGGTCCCACCAAGTCTAGCAGGAGTGATCTGCATGACCACTCAGCATATAGATCCAGCATGCCTCCCGTGCAGCCATCTTCTCTGTAGAGAATCACAGACTGGTTTGGGTTGAAATGGGCCTTAAAGATGATCTAGTTCCACCTCCCTGCCATGGGCAGGGACACCTCCCACTGGAGCAGCTTGATCAAAGCCCTGTCCCACATGACCCTGAACACCTCCAGGGATGGAGCATCCACAGCTTCCCTGGGCAACCTGGGCCAGTGTCTCACCACCCTCAGAGTGAAGAACTTCTTCCTCATTTCTAATGTAAATCTCCCCTCTTCCAGTGTGAAGCCATTAGTCCTTGTCCTATCACTACAAGCCCTTGTAAAAAGTCCCTCCCCAGCTTTCTTGTAGGCCCACTTTGGCTGCTGGAAGGGCACAATAAGGTCTCCCCAGAGCCTTCTCTTCTCCAGTGTGAACAACCCCAACTCCCTCAGCCTGGCCCTGCAGGGGAGGGGTTCCAGCCCTCTGTCTGTCTTTGTGGCTCTCCTCTGGACCTGCACCAACAGGCCCATGCCCTTCTTGTGTGGGGGACAAATCCAGAGCTGGACAAATCTTCATGTTTGTGACTTCTCAGACCTCTTTACTGACAGCAAAGTCTTTCCAGCCCCCAGGAATTATCCCACTGAGCCTAACACCAGTTTGGGTCAGTGGTTGCTTGTCCTGGTGCATTTAACAGAGCCACAGATTTCTCATTATCTTTTTAGCATTTTTATCAGTGGGTGAGGTGGCTTCACTGGGCTGATTTTTACCTGCTTCAGAAAGTCAGGTGAGCCTCCTGAAGAGGAGCAGTCTGGTTCCTATCTGCAGGGGGACAGTGTTGTGCCAGGCCTGCTTCTGGCTCCTGCACAGCCCTGGAGATGTCAGAGGTCTGTGGGTGGTTCTGCAGGGCTGGCACCTCACCCCTGGGGTTCCTGCACTCGTGGCTTTCCTCTGCTCCTCGTTGTGAGGACCACACTGGGATCCTTCTCAGGAGAAGATTGCTTCTTCTCAGGAGAGAGTTTGGAAGCGATGGAAGTGTGTCCAAAAAATGAGCTTTGTTTGCTGATGATAACTCAATTTGATCCCAGACAATTAGTGATGAAAATACTCCTGACTAATCCAGCGTTACAATAATCACAAGCAGCAGATCAATAGTGAGGAGTGTGGAACTGGAAGTGTTGCTTCAGATATTCAGCCACAGATTGATCTCCCTGTCAAACCCTAAGTGCCTGCTGGAGCAACACCTTTCAAAGGCTGGGGGGTGTTCTGAAATGTAACAGTGAGGGACTGAAGAAAGGAGAAGAATAATTTGGTTTATACAAGTGTGTTAACTCTTCACAGCCTGATGCAGCTTCCACAGTGCTCCAGGATTTGACTGGCACATGCTCTAATCCAATCAGTCCTTGACCAAAGTCAACTTAGTTTTCTCAGGAAAATAGAGATGACACCAGGAGACCTTCATATCACAAAGATTCTTGAATTTCCTCAGACCAACGATTGGCTGCTGCAACTCTGTGTACTGACTAAATCACATTGACCTGCTCAAAAGAGAGGGGGAAAAATGGAGAAATTCTAGATTTCTTTGGGAAAGGAAACAATAGAAATTTATGGGCTGTAGTTTTTCTTCCAAGAACTAAGACACATAGTGGCTGTGAGAGCACTCTTCCCTCTTAATGGCAGAAGTATGGAAGTTGTCCTCACACTACTGTAGGCACTCTGAGGTTTTGGAAGCTGCAAATGTTGCTGCTCAATTCCCTTTATGGCGTTTCTTTCCTAAGCCATTAAGAAAGATGGAAAGGAGTAATGTGTCTCTGAGGAATTTGTTCCTCAATATGTGTTTTAAGCACTGAGCATTGCTGTTGCTCAGACAGGGCACGTTTGGGAAGGGAGCTCTCCTCCAGGAGTGCTTCCCAGGCACGTGCAGTGGTCTGGAGAAGCTGTTTGTGCTTCCTGTGGGTTGTCTCTCTCCTGAGGAGCACGTGGAAGGAGCACTTAGGGGAGTGAGGTTTGGGTTCCTCTCTCCCTAACGCTGCAGATCCTGGAGGGAGAGTTTTGGTGCATCACTAATTGACTGTTGTCCTTCAGATAAGGTTTGCTATTTTTTCTAACAGTACTGAGTATTTTGAGTTTCTTTTGCTGGTGCAGAGAGGAAGACTTTTGACTGGCCGTGAGCAGTCAGAGCAGGAAGCCTGGTGTAAAGCTCTCACCTACTGGCCAGCCAGTCCTCTCGAGTGGAGGTGACAGGCTGAGCAGTCAGAACTTCCATTTTTCCTGACAGAAATCACACCCAGCTTCAACTGTTTATTTACAGGGGGGCAGGAAGGTGATAATTCTCAGTTCTTGGCCACCACTGAAGCCCTGTCAGCCAGTTATGATTAGCTTGATTATTTAATTACTTTTCCAGCACTCAGAATAAGTATTGCTTCACAGTGGCAGGGAGGGGAGGACTGAGGTGTCCTCAGCAGAGGGGAGAAGGCTTTTCTCTGCTCCAGCCATGTTTCCAGCTGTGATGTTTCCTCACTGCCAAGTCGTAGTGAAGAGCTGTGTGAATCATGGTCATGCCCTGACGATCCCTGCCCCTGGTCTCATGTTTCAGAGCTAATTGTGAATATCTCTGTGAAAGGAGCAGCTTTGGGAGTGGAAGAATGAGCACTTTTGACGTGCTTCGTCTTCAAGCTCTGGATTTCACTCCTCACTTGAAGCATATGTGGTTTTGTTTAAATTATATTTTATGTTCTCCAAGATGCTCTTCAGAACTAGAAGTCAGTGGCCATGGCCTGCCTGACCCAGGGCACTCAGTAACAGTGTGGGGGATGTTGAATTTAGGACAGTAAACACAGACTGCTGCTGTCTGTGATACCTTCAGGCAGAGCTCAAAATGCTGGGGAGAAGTGGTGACATGTCTTGGTGCTGGCACTTGCAGCCTGGAGCCCAGCAGAGTTCTGCTGAGGGCTGTTGGCCTTTCTCAGGAGGGGATGGGTAGGTAGGAGGCTCATGTGGGTGGGAACTTCATTGCCCCTGGAAAAGGGTGACTGGCATGGGGAGAAGACTGGAAGGGACTCGTGTTTGTTCTTTACTCCCTTCTTTGTACAGAGCCACAGGTATTTTCTCACTCTGAGGGTGGTGAGACCCTGGCCCAGGTTGCCCAGGGAGGTTGTGGATGCTCCATCCCTGGAGGTGTTCAAGGGCAGGTTGGATGGGGCTCTGAGCACCCTGCTCTAGTGGGAGGTGTCCCTGCCCATGGCAGGGAGGTGGAACTAGATGAGCTTTAAGGTCCCTTCCAAGCCAAACCAGTCTGTGATTCTATGGTTCTGTGACCCTGTGGTTAGAGTGCTGGCTTTTTGCATAACTGAAGCCAACAGTTTGCTGTAAAAGCTTGCACTCAGAGCTGACTGAGGTGTGGGCCTAGGGGGGTTCTCAAGGGTGAAGAAAAGGGTGTCTGTTGGGTTGGGTGATGTGTTGCTTTGGGTTCTTGCTGGTTAAGGAGACCTGGATCTCCAAGGTACTTGCTGACCTGCAATGGGACTCAAAATAGATTTTGCTGAAGGGAAAAAGATAAACATGGGCAAAAAATCAGACTGCTTGTTATTCTTTTGTTCAAAGCATGTTGAGATGGACCTGAAGAGGAATCCTGACAGAGTTTCTCACCTGGCCTCTGCTGCTGTCCGGGTGACTGACTGGAGCTGGGGAGGCAACCTGAATCCCAGCCCCCTGCTGAGAGATGAGGGGGAGCTGCTTGTGGACGAGTTCCTGTCCCCCAGGAAGCTGGTGAGTAGACACCCCACTTTTGGATGAAGTAGAAGGGGCACACTGGTGTACACAGACTGTGTGAACTTAACCCTCCAGCTGCTCTGGGGACGGTTGCAGATCGTTGCACATCTGACAGTGCAAATTCTGCGTGAAGTATGTTCTGTCTTACAGAAATTTATCAGGTGTTTGTCCTCCTTTCACCTTGTTTCATATCAAAAATATTCCCAGCGTGAACTCTGCTGTCATTATTGCTGGGCCTCTTCAAGCAGCATGAAGAAAAGTTTGGGTAGCATAATTGTAATTTAAACAGGTCTCATTAATGCCATCTGAAGTACCTGGAATCTTAGCATTAGAAAAAGCTTTTTACATTCTTCTAGGGATTTGAAACATAACTTTAAAAGTACAACTCTTTTTCAGAATTACTGAAATCCTCTGTCCTGCTAAGAAGCCAATTAAGATATTGGGCAAGTGCTAGGAGCACTTTCTCTATATATCAAAGTGTGTGAAATTTCAAAGCACATTTGGAAGCCACGTTCCTTTTTGACCAGGGGGAATGACTGTGGCTTGCAGCCTGCTGAGAGGGTGACACACTGAAACCTCCATGCAGGAGCACTCACAGAGTGGGCTGTGTTTGCTCAGGGCTAATTAAGGGTGAGCTCCTCTGGGACCTGGAGGAGCAGAGAAAATAACCTCAGTGGAGGGAGGGGGAGCTGAGTGCAGAGTGAAGGGAGGAGGTTCTTTCTGGTGGTGTGAAGCTGGGCAGGACTCAGGGCCAGGCAGATGGGGCCAAGGCTGTGTTTGGGTGCTCCCAGGGGGTGGGGTGTCTGTGACCCTGTGTGGATCCAGCACTCCAGAGGAGCAGCAGGCAGTGCCTCCTGCAGCCAGCACCCTCCAGCAGGGTCCCACTGCAGGTGAGCTGTGCCCAGAGCTGCTCCTCCCTCAGCAGCCGAGTCGTTCAGTGCTTGTGAAATGTCTGGAGGGGCAAAAATCACTTGCTGCAGAGTGAGTATTGTAAGCTTTCTGGAGAGAAGTTGCTGTATGGTCTGAAGCTCTGTGCCACTCCCTTTCCTTGGGCTCATGTGAACCTCTGACAACTTCCTGGCCTTTTTTTTTTGAAAGTCTGGCATAGGGTTTGACCAGCCTGATGTGCTTGTGGCCTGCAGTACCCTGCATAAATCCAGTGGGAAGCTCTCAGATTCATCTTTTCTTAGGGAGTGAACCAAAGCCCACTAGAGTAACCAAAGCAGCTGCCCTCTGACTTCAGTAAACTCTGAACTAAACCCTTAGGAAGTTCTTCTGTTGGTGTGGAATTCTTCTCTTTCTGAAACTCTGCTGCGTTTAGTTCACAGTGAATTGCAACTGGAAAAGTGTATGTATGGCAATGTCACCCACACCCCATGAAGCTGCAGCTCATTATTTTGTTATTTTTTTTAAAATACAGGTCAGAGGTTAAATTTCCCCAGAATTCTGGGCTGGTTTTGAAACTGGGAAAATCTCTTATTATTCACACGTGCCCTCTTGAACTTAATTGAGTCTTGCCTCTATAGGGTTCTGTGTATTAACAACTGTAAGGAGTTCCTTTGCACAAAAGTCTTTCAGATGGATGCATACTATCCCACTAACTTCTCAGGACAGTGATTTCCTGGCCCTGGGACCAACATTTGTGTTGGTATAGCTGGGGTACATCCTGCTTGGAGGAAAAATGGTGACATAGTCAAGGAAACATTTACAATGCTTACAGCTTGTTTTAATAACATATCAGAACTATCTATTCCCTGGCCTTTGTGCTGACCAAATTGAAGCCACTGCTTCCATAAATTTGCTTCCTCTGGAGCTGAAAATGTGAAAACAGAGACACTGTTCAAACATTTAACCTGAAACAAGTTTTCACGTGCCATTGGTAACCGAATGGTTTGAGAGGGTGTTTTGCTTAAATCAATCCACTTGTGATAGCTTCTTGATTGTCTTTCAGTTGTAAATATTTTAGGTGTTATTGATTGTATCTGCTGAAGTGCTCTGAGAAGGAAACTAATAGATTTTTACAATACATGCTCGTTAAAGAAAAAATATTTTACACCCAAGTAAGGCCAGAGGCCCCAGCTCTGCAGCGTTGCATGGGCAGATTTCTGGACACCTGATGGTGTTACCTGGGAGAAGAGACCAACTCCCATCTCACTCCAACCTCCTCTCAGGGAGCTGTAGAGAGCCAGAAGTTCTCCACTGATCCTCCTCTTCTCCAGACTGAACCCCCCCAGGTCCCTCAGCTGCTCCTCACAATCATGTTCCCCATGGACCATGCTCACCAGCCCTGTTGCCCTTCTCTGGACCCACTCCAGCCCCTCAGTGGCTCCCAGAACACTCTGGGGATGCACCCTCCCATGGTCACA